CACTGAAAAATATGATTCATTGGATTTACTAAATTTTTTTAAGGTAACAGTAGGGATGTGAACCTACTCTGGTCTCGGTTACGATTATCATGTCATCGATTTGGTCCAATTCAAAACCTTGGTGCAATGACTATGCTTTCCATCTAATATGATACTTTTTTCTTCACAACACAAGAATTCTTGAATGAAAGTTTTTAAATATGTTTATATTTTACAGTATATTATTTGTACTACAATTTTGTTCTTTAATAAAAGCAGTCAGATATATGAACTGCACCTTTAATTTTACCTGCTCTAAGAAAACACTATTTTTGAATGTTTCAATTAAAATTAAAATACAATCATAGAAAACAACATGAGTATTTATAGCAAATAAAAGAATGTAAATATTACTCCGCTTACTATTTAAATGTTGTCGAGCATGCTCTTACATCCCTATGATTGGTCATTGTGTTCACGTGCTCAACAGAAAGGGCTGCGATTGGCTCTAAAACTGTCAGTGCTGTTCACCGATGAGTAGTGCGGACACTGTATGCACGTAATAAAGTACACATTGCGCAACTATCACAGCTGATCGGTAATAGACGGATAGTCGTGGATAAAACTTGGTCTACTGACACACTACTGTCAGAATCCACAAGTGTCACTTTAATAGCGATAGAGGATAGGAAAAGTTTCCTTACAAACACACCAGCAGTTCAAAGGTCCAAAGTGAGAGAGACAGACAGACAAAGAGAGAGAGAGAGAGAAAGAGCCTTAATTTTCTTCCTAGCAGTGAAATAGTGTCTCCTGCTTCTGCTGTACTTCAGTGTCAGTAAAAGACTCTTCCACAAACACACGTGCAGTGAATTGTGTGCAGTTGTCTGCTTTTTAAGTAGTTGGAGCATTTTAAGTACTCGCCTTCGCCTTGTTCGAATAGTATTCTACTCTGAAATATCATGCGAGATAAATGACATCAGTACATAATAACCGCGATGATCTATTAATGAACCGAGACTGAATTGTCCATGTCTGCATCGCGGTGCAGAAAATCAAAGAAACAAATAATTTTGACATCTTTAGGTAACAGGTTGCAAACAATTTATATAAGCTGAATTTAAGCAAACAAATAAAATGTTGTATTGTTCAACTTCATTTGTTTGTTTAAATTCAGCATATTGTTTGCAAGCAGTTTGCTTCAAGGTCCAATGAAATACAAAATTAGTTTTTTAAATGTTAGCATCAGTATTGTACAATTTTAGATATCTATAAACTAGTGTGCTCCAAAACAGTGAAAAACTTTGCGTTTAGAAGATATAAAACTGATATAAACTTGGTTAAATCATAACCAATCAAATGCTCTCTAGTATCTGACATGCCCCGCCTCCTTCAAGATGTTTCTCATTTGATTTCATTAATGCATTTGAGCTTAAACACTCTCATCGGTATAGCTGTGATAAAGCGCTATTGGCTGTTTTTTTAAAGGGGAGGAGCTACAATATGTCCCACACTCTCTTCATGTTTTGGTTGAGATTACGTCAAACATTAAAAAAAAATGCAGATTTCAAAGCTTCATTAGACTTTTAAAAAATGTAGTACATCCAATGAATCCATTTTTCAGTGTTTGTCTGTTGTGCTGTTTTGAAGTTAAAATTTAGCCATTTCAATATCTAGGATTCTGCTTGAGGGTGAAAAGTTTGCCAAACTTGCCATATTTTACATCAGGTTCAAGTTGCTCTCTCTGACCAACAAAAAAGCAGCTTGTTTTGAAAGTGACTTCTCTGTGAACTGTGCTTCATACTTTGCTACACAATGGACAGTAGACCCTTTTGTTCTGAAATGTAAAAAAAAATTTTAACTGAACTTTTAATGATAACCCCACAAATGTGGTTTGAGTTATCGTATGTTTACATGTTCTTCAAGTTGGATTTCAGTCTGACTGAAGCAATATTTAGTCTTTTTAAAATGTCACGTAGCAGCTGTACTCTAATTGAAATCAACTCCGTCTGGACTAAAAGATCTACATAATGTGCCTGTAGCTCAGCTTCATCTGGCATACGGGCATGTTGTTTAGATTTAATTTGGCCTCTGTTTGAATTTTTAATTATTCAATTATTGTTAACTATTTAATTATTATTGAGGCACACATATTTGAACTGAAGGATGAAAACTGTAACTGAATGACACAAAAACCCTTGGCTAGTTTGACAGTCTCACCGGCTGATCCACAAAAAGAGAAAAGCTCTAGTCCCCTGTCTTGCACATTATTGGCCTACTTTTATGCTAAAGCTGAAAATACTTTTAATCAAATGTTTTTTTTTCTGTGCTGCTAAGTAAATTACAGTTTGGGTATAATGAATGACTGTCTAAACTGAAAGTAGAAATTTTATATTAAAACCAAATTTGCTGTTTTGATGAGATATAATGTTAATCTGTGCCTTTGGTTATAGTTGATGGGCATTTATCGCAATTGATGTTGGTATTGTGATCCTGTCTATGCACAAAGCAATTTGAGAGTCACATTTGTTAGTGAACAGCATGTTTACGGAGCCAAAGTGAAACTGTGAAACTAAAGCTGCTAAAAGTTATAATTGTCTTTTTTGAGCGAGTGAGCTATGAGACGTCTCTGACTTAAATCAAGAATTAAATCAAAAAGCTGTTTTAAAAACTGTTTGGTAACAACCCATTCCGTTACATTTACACATTAGCATGCTTTTAAATGCTATATTGCTTATATAAAACAGTTGAGATTTTTGTGGAATTGTTTTAGTATTGGTTTGATTTGCTTTTAGCAGGGCTAGATTTTAGTTTTGTTGTTAATTACAAAATAAATAGTTTTTAATTAAATAAAAAAGAAAAGTTTAAAATTTTAATATTTCCTAAAATTACTTGGAGAAAAAAAGAGCCCCTGTCTTGTGTATTAAATCAAATCACTTCAGTTATCACATTATCAGCAGCATGTACACTATGATGACTAAAAAAACTCAACCAGTGCAAAATACGACAACATGCTCCCAAAAACAAAACAATATACTGGCTTAGAGCTGCAGACTATATTGTTTTAACATCGAAATCACAATCTGTGTATACACAGTCAAATCACAGTATTTGTAATGTTGTGTTGGGAATATAGTTGACCAAGAGACAGTGTTCAGATGAGATTTGGAGAGACACTGGAGAGATTAACCATAATGGAGTGAAAGTTTATCATTTTCTTGTGTGGTTAAGACCCATGGCAGTGTGAGAGTTTTAAACATTCAGGCACAAGAAACTGTACAATGAAAGATGAGTTTTATTAAAGTTATTTACATGCGATGTAAAACCCAATAGTCAACTTTATCAAATGAAATAAGTGTTGTTAACTCCAAATTGACTGAAAGTTAATTCTACTCATTTGAAAAGAGTTTTAAACTCAGTGTTGAAGGTAATGAGTTCATTAAATACCTCAACTTTAATGGAGTAAGTTCACAGTACTTGTATAGATTAGTTTTTTTTACTCAAATGGTTTGTTGTAATCGGTTTCCTCAAAACGTTTGAGTTGCCTCAAGTTATTGGGTTTTACAGTACTCAGTTGGTTTGAGTTCTCTTCATTTATTGGATTTTACTGTGCTTAAATTGCTTCATTTACTCAAATAGATTAAGTTCACAGTACTCATTAGGATTAGTTTTTGAACTTAAATGGTTTGTTGCAATCAGTTTCCTCAAATGGTTTGAGTTACCTGAACTTTTTGGGTTTTACAGTTATGAAGACTATGCAGTTTTATTTTACATTTGAGTATTTAATATCTGTATCTGAATACTGTTTGATACCTGAAAAAAAAAGTTTTCATTGTTTCCCTTTTGTCTTTGCTCTATGGTATTTAATTTAAGCTTGTAATTTGTAATTTTATTTTAAGCATGATTCTCTCCCCTACATAATCATTATATTTCTTACATTTATATAGGCACTTTTTTAGGAACTCAAAGCTCTTTAGAGATGTTGGGAGGAATCTTCTTATCCACCACCAGTCTGAAGCATAAGTGAATTACGTGACAGCAGCCATATTGCATATTATATGAGGCCAGTTGTGATAAAAAGGGGATGGTTAGGAGGTCATTATCGATACTAGAGGCCAGTGGGAAAATTTGGCCAGGATACCGGGGATACACCCCTACTTTTTTCAAAGGATATCCTGGGATTTTTAATTATCACAGGACCTCAGTTTAACACCTAATCTGAAAGATGATGCTCACTGGATAGTATATAGTCCCCATCACTATACTGGGGCGTTAAGACCCACATAGACTACAGGTTGAGCGAGCCCTGCTGGCTTCACAAACACCTCTTCCAGCAACCTAGTTTTCCCATGTGGTCTCCCATCTAGTAAAGTCTAGATAGGATATAGCTGCAGATACGCACATCAGTATAGTTTTTGTGACACTGTATAACAATATTTAATGTTTTTACAGGTCTGTGATGGTTGGTTTTAGGGTTAGGGTAGGGGTAGACGTTAAAAAAATGCAATTTACTGGGTAATTTAATAAATAACTTATAATACTCTGTACAACTACTGTTTTTACATTACTATGACGGTTGGGTTTAGAGTTTAGGGTTAGGGTAGACGTTAATAAAATACAATTAATGGGAAATTTAATAAATAATATAGATAATTCTCATTAACTTCCGGCTGCAACTGATCTAGCAACAACCCTCCCATCCAGGTAATTTCCAGGCCCAGCCATGCTTTCAGTGCACAACCATGTGTAAGCTTCAAAGAGCTAGCTGCTGGTATAATCATACCAATCAATCTAATTTAATGAATGCTTTCCAAATAGGGCTCAAAATGGAAGTCATCAGGTAAAACTGTATTCACATCGCAACATATAGTAGAAAAAACTAAATATCGCAATGTAAGATTTTTCCAATAATTAGGAGAGTATCTTCTCCTGTAAGCATGTGTTTTTCATAAGAGCACTGTCTCTCAAATGATTTCCCTAACCCTCCCTTTCTTTTTCTTTCTTGCTTTTGCTCCTCTCAACAGGAGACTATATCCTTGAAGCCAAGCCAAAAGAGATCTCAGAGGCTCAGCGGTTGAACTACGAACAGGTAAAAGAAACCGCAATGACTCACCGAATACAAGCCTGTGAAAGATAGCCAGCCTGTTTACATATCTCTCCATGTGTTTGTGTGATGGTGCAGTGCTAACACTGAGAAAAAGGTGAAAGGTGAGGCCCAAGGCTCTGACAGAGGAGAAGACACACGTAGAGACTCAAACAGACAGATATTTTTCTCACACTCTTGCATCTTTTCTCAAAACATCCATTTGTTCTCATAGACTTGGTCAGTAAACAGCCAGTTAGTCTCTGTGGGATTAAAGTGCCTTTAGGAAGCAAGCTGTGGTGGTCATCTTGATGAGCACCCATCCATCCCAGCAGGAAAAAGGGAATGTGAAAACCAAGAATCACTATTTGACTTGAAGGAATTGTGCGAACTGGTCCATACCAGACTGGATCCAGTTATTTATATAACAGCAGGACTGAATAACATCATTGTGTTGCATTGAGGAAGAGTATAAGCTGTGTGCTCTATGACGTTTCACATGTAAAGAGATGGGATCAAGAGAGCCCCTAATATTATGTGTATGAATGCTTGACCAGGGCATGTGGATTGTTGTTTTATGCCTTTTCTATTAGCATGTGTTTTGGGGTAGGGAAGCTCCGATTAGGATTTTTGCAGCCGATAGCCAGTACTGATTCCTTGCCATGTTGATCAGCCGATACAGAGTACCGATTCAAATGCTTCAAGCTTTACAATGCATTAAGCACATTTTCCCTCTAAACATGAACCTTAAGAAAAGATCTTGTCTTACCTAAGAGAATAAATGAAGGATGCTGCATATAATCTCTTAAACAAGTCTCTTATAACCGTTTAGGTGTTAACGTGTCATGGCCATAAGCAGCTTTACTGAAAATAATTCATTCATTCATTTGACTTTGGCTTAGTCTCTTATTTATCAGGCGGTTGCCACAGGAATGAACCACCAGAGAAAAAATATAACACAGATATAAAAATTGGTAATAAAAATACAAACACTGCAATTTGGAAACATTGCAAATGATGAAGAAGAATTCAACATGTCTCAATCAAGAAAAAGTTTGGAGCGTATATTTGATGCATAAGAAGTTAAAATGCACACCTATAAATCTAATACTTCTTTACTAAAAGAAAATAGGCCTATAAACTACAGTTTATTACCAGAAGTGTATTACAAGAAGTGATAGTATTAAAATATTCATCCTAAAAAAATAATTTAAAAGTTTTTTTATCTAATAAATCTAACCAGCTTTCAGTGAACTTGCAATATTTTCAAAATCACAGAACTTTTCAGTTGTTATATGTAAAAAGGCCTAAATACATGCAGGACCATTCAAATATTTTGCTCATCTTCAACTATTAACAGCAGATCTATCAATGAGAGAGAGGGAGATGTGCACTCATGATATCTTTACTGCTCTATTCATTTACCCTAAGAAATATAATGCTTAGACAATCACTGTGCCTCTCGGGATCTGTTCTCTTGCTCATTCACTTATCACCATGATTTCCGAGTATGTAAACTAATTTTGGGGGATCACAGAGCCAGTATGACTATGCAGGAGACTCACAGAGCTTTCGGGAGAGGTCATATTGGGGCGATCGCTCCGCTCTTCTTACAAAGCCTGAATAATATTAAACTCTAATAAAAATCTTTTTTTTTTTTTTTAAATCATGTGACTGAAATTGTAGTATTGACATCCCGGGACTAAATTATAATTATGAAAATTGTAATAGTATTTCATATATTTCATTTTACATCAAATAAATTCTGCTTTGTGAGCTTAAAATACATTAAAGGTTGTTTGTTTATCCCAAAGATGGCAATTTAAATGTATTTTCCTGTTCTTTTTGTTTGGTTTTGAGGTTTTGTTGATTATTAATGGCTTTAGTTGGGCTGGGCGATTTGGCCTAAAATCAAAATCTCGATTAATTAAACATTTTAACTTTATTATGATTAATGAACAATTATTTGATTTGATTTTTTTTTTCCACTGACAGGTTTTGTAGAGTAAATCTGCTCACATATTACAAGTGATAGATTTCTGAATAAAGAGTGCATTACACAGCATCTACAATCTATGATTATTCATTGAACATCAACGTTGAACAACTCAAAATAAAACACACTTTACCTAAAGCTAAGTCACTTTTTTCTTATAAAAAAGTAAAAATAAATATCTTACACTTTTGGAAACAAAATAAACTATTTTCAATGTTTTCAAAAGTAGAAAATAAGCAGTATCTCTTCTAAATAAAATAACTACTCTTGTATATCCTGTTTATAATATTTTAAACAGTGCCTTTCTTGAAGCTTCTGTAAACAAAAAATTTAATGTAAACAATAATTTTTGTATTTTTGGTATAATAGAAAATATGCAGTCTTGAGGCATCTCTGGCGCAGCTTCCAATCATCGTCAATATAATGCAAACGTGCAATGTGTGGTCACATTTATCGAGAGGTTTGGGGGATGCGACCGCACGAAGGCTGCGCCGGGCCATACTCCTGCGTTCGATGCAAAAGTATAAATCAGCGGTAAAAAAGCGATAGGAAAAGTACTTGAAAAAGTTGACCTGGAAAAATTTGATCGATTATAGGTTCTGAATGTCGATTTGAATGAATTGCTCAGCTTTTAGGATGCTTTGTGATAATATAAAATTGCTAATAGTTTCTGCATTAAACTATTGCTAATGTGCTACTTTTTAATTTGGCATTATAATCTATTAACTGTGAATTATCAGGCATCCAAGCGGTTCCAAGTGTGGTTTATTCTTGCACCTGAGCTTGGGGTTGTGAGGATTAAGTTTTTCTGATTTTTTTTCAAGTGTGTGTTGTTGATTATTGGAGTAGGTGGAAGCTGTCTGGATATGTGCTCTTTGTATTTGCTCTTCCAGCTTGTCAGTATGAGACTATAATGAGTGTTAGCTTTGTACTTTTGTTTTGATCTAGTTCTGGCTTTTACAGTGTGGCTTATCTTAGAGATTTTTTTCTGAGACTGCTTCAAGTTTAACCGAGCTTCATTCATGCTTGAATAATGTGATGTCTCTACACTGTAGGTCAGCTGACTGTCTTCGGCCAGGCTCTGTGTATGTATGTTTGTGTGCTGACAGTCAGTGAAGGGCTTTTTTGGCAGTGAGAGACAGTGAGAGCGAGGCGCACACACACTCGCACACAAAACAGCTCCGGAAGAACTTTAATGGGCCTCTCTGCTCTCTGTGTGCCGATCCTACTGTTTAGCCTGTGCAAACAGTGCACAATAACATCACTCAGGTTTGACTGTGTTTATCAGCCGCTGTTCACTCTAATAGATGTTTTGATTGTATTAAAGCTTTTATAGCCATCTCGGCGAGCATCGCTGGACTGGAGCACAAAGATAAAAGTGCTGGAGAAAGTGGGTCAGGGCAGTGGAGTGGTTCAGAAACACTGGCAGGGGCACTGGGACAGAGCCGGGCCACACACAGGCTGGGTGTGGGTGAAGGTTGGAAGCCGTGCCGGGCTCAGCAAGGCTGAATTATAGCTGTGGGTGGATGGGTCTTGGCTGATCTGTCAGACCTCTAACGCTCATCCGACGCCATTGCCAGTTCTACATGCTCTCATCCACCCACTGGCCATCGGGTCAGCCTGTGCCACATTAATTCATCCTGGCCCATGTTCCAGGAGAGCCAGGAACTCATGACTCAGCGGTTCTCTGAAGGTATCTAGTGTTGTTTTGGTAACATCATACTTTAGTATCGAGCTGCAAGATGATGACCCATGTTATTCTGATCAGTGTCAAGGTGAGATGAAGGCTGCGCTCTTTTCAGTGTCAGGATATGTTTTGTCAGCTTTTGTCTTCTTTCCAGTGCTAAATTCAGTTTGGGTATAACAAAGATGAATGGCTGTCTAGAATGCAAGGGAATTTTTAGGTCAAACCTAAATTTGTTGTCTTGATGTTCTTCATGGGAATGATAGAACGTGTTTGAGAAGCAGCAGAAGCTGGCTGAAATTAGTTCAGAATAAAATCGTTAAAGATGTAAAGCATGAATCTTAATCTGTTGTTATTATTATTACAGCCAATGGGTAGTTATTGCGATTGACGTCAGTATTCTGTACTCTGGTTCTGTCTATGTACAAAACTATTTACACTAGTCACACTTGTTAGTAAATACCATGTAAACATAGCCAAAGTGAAAATGAAAATAGGAGCTGCTAAAAGTTATAATTAGCTGTGTTTCCATCAAACAGTTTTTAATGCTTAAATTTTAGAAAAGCTTAATGGAAATGCCAAGATGTGCATAACATTTAAAAAATTCATTCATTAATTCATTTTATTTTCGCCTTAGTCTCTTTATTAATCCGGGGTTGCCACAATGGAATGAACCGCCAACTTATCCAGCACGTTTTTACGCAGCGGATGCCCTTCCAGCCGCAACCCATCTCTGGGAAACACACACACTCACACTCACACACACTCATACACTAAGGAATTTAGCCTACCCGATTCACCTGGACTGCATGTCTTTGGACTGTGGGGCAAACCAGAGCACCTGGAGGAAACCCACGCAAACGCAGGGAGAACATGCAAACTCCACACAGAAACACCAACTGACCCAGCCGAGGCTTGAACCAGTGACCCAGCAACCTTCTTGCTGTGAGTCGACAGCACTACTTACTGCGCCACTGCGTCGCCACATTTTAAAAATTTTAAATTAAAAAGCATCTGCACAACTGAGAAGGATACTTTTTTTTCAGAAGATAAAATGTGCATAAACAAAGATGAAATCACATTGCTGAATAAATTATGCATCAAAAATTTATGTGAATTTTTTTTTTTTTTTTTTTTTTTTTTTTTAACAGATTGGGTAATAATAAAAATGGGCGTAATGGGACGGCATTAAAGGACAAACCATCGAACTGACCACAACGTAAAACACCATCCGCGTGACGTCACACTTAACAAGCAGATATCATGAACAAGTCGCAGATAAAGCTTATAAACAGCCCATTCTCTTATATCTATACATTAACATGATTTTAAATGCCATATTGCTTTCAAACCGATTCTGTTTAATTGTTTAGGTTTTTGTTTGGGATCATTTATAGCACAGCTAGATTTTAAAAACAGTTTTTAATTTAAGTAAAAGGATAAAAAAAACTTAAAAAAAAAAAACAAAACAGAATTGTTGCTAATCAATTAAATGCACTCATGGTTTGCTGAGATGTGAAATGTCAGAGAAGTTATATGCTGTCATTTGGCGATTGTCAGCATTGGTCAGTGTGGTGTAAGTTGGTGTGGTGTAAGTTGGCCTAAAGTAAAATCCAAAAACAGTTAAAATATACAAATTAACAAATAAAACACACCAGAGTTTGTCAAATTTAACAAAGCATGTCAAGTGTGAACACATCCTGAATTGAGTGAAAATGCAAGGAATTCCTCCGTAACAGCAGAAAATGTCCAGGGCAAAAATCTCTGACAGAACACCAAATATAATCTCAGTGGTGTCCAAGGTTTCATGAGGCATGATGTATAAAGCGGCTGTTATATGGTTGTGTTACGAGTGCTAATCCCAACAACTGTCCCCACGCTCATTTTGTGAGCTGTGACTGAACAGATGGTCATACTGTGAGTCTTTAAAAGCGAGAACCGCACACAGATTATTGTCATTACCATAAGGTCTGAAACGTAATATCAAGCACTGTGCACACACTGTTTGCTGGATAGCCATACAGTGGCTTGTGTTTGCGAGGCTGCAGCTGTGTTCTGTTCGAGTCTCAGTGGAGGGTCATTATGGTCAAAACTGAAAGACAGGAAGTAAATGAGGTGAACTCTAGGTTGTGGAGCTCTTTAGTCACTTGTCTAGAATTATGAGATTTTTCCTGCCCAGGGTACTAAAACAATTCATTGGGTGTGACATGTAAAAGTAATGTGTTGGATATTCACTATTCCCTCAGTGTTTTTGTATTTGCCTTATTAATTCTGTTGAACTCTCGCTCTCTCTCCATCTCCCTTTCTCTCTTCCTCTCTCTCTCTGTAGAATATGAGTGACGCTATGGCAGTACTGCACAAGCTGCAGACAGGTCTGGATGTAAACGTCAAGTTCACAGGTGTGCGGGTATTTGAATACACACCTGAGTGCATCGTATTCGACCTGCTGGATATCCCACTGTACCACGGATGGCTGGTTGACCCACAGGTTAGAAATCTAAGGCATTTGATGTCACCAGATGATGTCCTCATGAAATCAAAATCTTATCTTAAGAATATGTTAACTTTACTGTTATCTACAAGCTAGAATGCCCCAAAACTATGACAACATATCCATTTAGTTCTTGCTTTAATTTAAAGTTTGGTCTCTCACTTCTGCCAATGAGGATTGTCAATTATGATGACATCAGTTTGTACTTCAGCTTTTGATCTGGTTTTATTTTCAATCAAATGTTCTAGAATCTGAAGCGTCGCTTGCTGAAGTTTAGTTTGCAAGAGTGTCATGTGAACCATCGCAGTACACACAGGGTCTGCTCCTATTCCATACAGATTACATCAGCACATTAAGTGCAATCAAAACTAATTTTGATTTTAAAACAATGAATTAATTAATCTGATCACAGAGTTGCAATCAACAACAATGTATTCAGTTGGGTTTGTCAGTCAATGTTTTTATCACACAGTGTCATGAGTGTCGTGGCTCACAGTGCTGGCGAGCTAAAACAAGTGAATCTGTTAAAAAAGCGTTACTCTGTTGCATTGATTTTGGTTTGTTTTGATTAAATTGACCTGTTTGAAAAGTTAAAATTGATGCTTTTATTTTGAACTGCATATTGTCTTTTTCACACTGTGTCCAGATGGCTGATATAGTGAAGGCAGTGGGGAACTGCAGCTATAACCAGTTGGTGGAGAAGATAATCAGCTGTAAGCAGTCAGACAGCAGCGAGCTGGCCGGTGAAGGTGAGTTATTCACTCTTTTTATCTGCCTTCTCCTGCTTTTCCTTTCACACATTCATCAAGGCTTCTTTTTATACAAGTCAAGTACTTATCTGTAGCATACCAACTCTGGCTGAATGCCCTTAAACATAAAATGCACATTCTCTGAGCACTGCGAGTTCACTCTTTGCCAGGCTTTTGTGCATTTAGATGCATTCATGTCTCCGACACATTCCTCCATGTCCTGAATAGCGTTGCAACATGCAAATATCAACTTTCAGAGTGTGCCAGAGTCATTTAAGCACCCTCCATCTTTTCACAGTATGAACCTTCTTTCCCTCTCTCAGTGTTTGTGTCTATATATAGCTACATCTCCATCTTTTCTTGCTCTTTATTTAAGCTCCTATCAGAATGCACCTTGTCTTTTCTGTTGCTGTACTGAATCTGATTTATGCCTTTTCCTTTCTCACTGGCTGTCTCACTCTGTCGCTCATGTCAATGTCTGTTTGTCGGGATGTTTGCAATAAAGGTTTAGACTTGAGTGTTTTTAGATGATTAGTTCACCCAAATATGATTTTCCTTATTTATCCTCACAATATTCCACAATGACTTAAGCTACAGTCACACTAGTATTTGAGAACACTATTTCTTTGGTCGCAAAGGTTCTAATATGACATAACAGTTTTCTGCACCTAAACAAAAAATGAAATAAAAATATGCCAATACATAGACACTGTAATCCTGTTGATTTACAGTTTGCAAATTCTATCAATCTTCTATTGGTCACACAGTGTGGTGTGATGGGAATTTGCAAAGTTAAACAGGAATGCAGAGACATGCTAAAGAACTCCACGATTGTTTATGTTTCCAGTCTCTCTGATTGACATCCATGAACCAAATTAATAAAATTTGATTGGATGAAAAAGAAACTAACAACAAAAAAGAATTAAATCCTAAAATTAGACTGTACAACTCAACACAGAACTTTCCAAGTTCTCTTCCAAGTCAAACTGTCTTATTTGCTTTTTAGTTATAGGTGTTGAATATGTATAATCTATAATAATGTTGTCATTTTAATGTGCAAACTGACATTATCAAGTATATTACCCACAAAAAAACAACAACAAAATAAAAAAACAAGCCTAAAATTCAAGATAGGAAAACAAGAAATATCTCAGAAAGCAAGAAGGTAATTTTCTTGATTATCAGTATATGAGGACAATTGCAACTGTTTTGATATAGCAGTTCAACAAACAAAAAGTCCATATAGTAGGCCTGCACAATTATTCGATTTTTGACTGAAATCAGGATTTGAAGGTGCAATTTTCCATCGCAAAAGCTGTGATTATTTCAATTAATATTATGGCAAGGGAGGCGAGCGCGAGTAATTAAAATAATCTAACTACACTGTAAAAAATGCAGGGTTCCACACAACTCATTCATGTTGTCCCAACACAAATTGATAAAGTTCATTTAACACTTTTAACAAATTTATGTGCATTGAACATTTAAGTTGTCCCAACGAAATCTCAAGAATTGTGTTGTTTTAGCTTATTTTAAATCATTTAAAATAGTTTGAAATATTTTAAATTTGTTCTGTGCATGTAGCCTACTTGAGTTTTGTTTGAAACATTCAAAGAGAGCTTTCTTTAAGCTGGTAAAATTGAAGGTACAATTCATATATCTGACTGCTTGAATTGAAGGATAAAATTGTATTTCAAATAATATATAAATAATTATATATATTTATAAAATATACATTTTAATACAAGAATTATTGTGCTGTGAAGTAAAATCTAAAATTGTGTATTGTAAGCATTGTCAATGCACTGTGAATATCATGAAACCAATATGAAAAATGTAACACAATCCAAATTTAAAGGTTATATAAGAATATATGGGCCTATATGAATAATTTATTTAATTGACTTTAAAGTAAAGTAGCAGTAGCATAGTGTAGAGTACTTTGTGATTATGCTTGGTCTTTCTTAGTGATATTATAACCACCACATCAAACCTGAAGCTCTTTTATGACATAATAGTAAATCACATTTTAAATCGCACAACTGCATTAATAATAAATTACATTAAATTAACCCGAAAGTAAATGAAAGACGTTTTGCAAATTACAATTTTGAGACCAGGCATGAATAAACTGTCTATACTAGATGCTGAATTGGACATTCTAAGTTGACTTATTTGTATTTACTGAATAACAAAGCACCATCTATATGTAACCACTGCCAAGCTGCTCTTACCATGAAACATATTTTGCTGGAATGTGGAAGTTTGAATACCATTAGACAAAATTTTTATAAGGAAAGTACTTTGATAGATATGTTAAAAAAGATACCGGGAAAAACCTTACAATTTTTCATTAAAAATCGTTTTTAACTTTGAATATATTTTTGTGTGAATTATATTTATTTATATTTTATATATTTGTCTAAGTAACTTTTTAATACGCGTTTGTTTTTATTTTGTAATATTTTTATGTATTTCCATGAAATAGCCATAAGTTGCTGATGTGGCAATAAATTAATAATAAATAAATAAATCGCAAATCGCAATTTTGACCAGATAAATCGCAATTAGATTTTTTCTGCAGCCCTGCAATATAGAGTGACTTTTTAGACACAGTATAATAATTATTATTACATTATTATTCTATTTAGCGTGCAAAAACGGATCCAAATATAGCCATGACACCAGCCAGGGTACCAGCACAAAAACACACTCACCAAATGTTAGTTAATATATAGCAATACGTTTTTTATCACAACCTCACACAGAGGTTGTCTGTTAACTGTCAACTACTGTGACAGAGTTATTAAAGCTTAAACTTATTTACAAATCTGACATGACAGTGCTTTAAGGCAGATATCAAGAGTTTACATTCCTAAGCTGATTTAGAGCCTGTATTGTATTGTGTGTCAGAGAGGCCTCACACCGTCTCGTTTTTTCCCCCACAGGCTTTGTGGCAGAGCAGTTTCTGAACAGCACAGCGACTCAGCTCACGTACCACGGCCTGTGTGAGCTCACCTCCACAGTACAGGAGGGAGAGCTGTGTGTCTTCTTCAGGAACAATCACTTCAGCACCATGACCAAATTTAAGGTGTTATTCCTACAGTAATTTTAAATGAAAGATAACTCTGTGCTGCTGAGAAAGAAAAACACTCTAATAAGCAAAGTAAATTTGGTACATTTGTCTCTAGAGTGATGCTGTATGTTGGTGCCCCCCAATGGCCCAACACAGAACTTTAAACTGTAACAGAAGATTATAGACATTGGAAAGCTGGATGATGTTATTGGAAAGGTGCACCCATAACCACTTTCATCTTATATACAACAAATTTTCTCTTAAAAATGCATACAGAGTATTAGAAACTGCTTAAAATAATTTACAAAAGAAAATGCAAAGTCGGTTTAATGTTTGATCTGTCAAATGCGATTCAACTTGCTGGAGATATATCCAGCTGCAGACCAGCAGACTCGCACGTTTCAGTACACACAATCAAGCACACACAATCTGGGCAGGGGCGAACCAAATATGGTTAATGATGGATCAGTCTTCTATTTTTTCTTGTTTAACTCCTTGGGAGCATTATCACCACCTACTGAATTTCACAAATATGGCGATCAAGATCCTACGATTGCCATTTATTAGACTGAACAGTTTAGGGGTTTTCCATTTCAGTCATTATTTCATTATTATATTGTATCGATCATTTTAACATCTGTGCAGTTTTGGTACTCAAATTACGTAAAAATAATTCGTTAAAACACTTATTCGCGTATCTACATGCACAAAGTAAACGTAACTGACTGTCTAATTGTAGGATTAAGTGTAATAAACTAATTTCAGGACCCTAATGTTGTCATACTTAGTTAAAATCATTTTGAAGTAAAATATAAAAAGCAAACAATAATGTCACATTAAAATGAATTAGTTTATAAAATAAAATTATAAAGTTATAAACTGATAAACTACTTTATCTTTTACTAAACTTTAGCAACTGTTAGTAATATATTTAAATTAATTATTAACATTAATTTCTTGGTATTGCTATAACCACAAATTACCAGTTTTGTATGGTTCAAAAACAATACATTACATCTTAACTATAGTATTTAATGTGGGAAATCATTAATAAAAAAGTTATTAGAAAATAAACCCTTTTCAATCGCTGGAGTAAAATATTAACATAGTGTTATACATTTATTAAATGTAAAAAGATTTTTATTACATACAAAGATGTATTATAGCCTATACATATTACCTTGCTATTATTTCCTTCAATATATAATTGAAACCTGTCCAATTTAGGTCGTTTATATATCTCTTTCAGCAAAGCCAGCGAACAAGTATCTGCTATACTGCCTCTGTCAGATAAATAATGACTGATCATCTATGATGACTGATAGAAAACTGCTCAGTCTATTATATTGAATATAAACGGAAACAACGTTCCCCATTTGCCCATCTCAATTGCCATATTTGTGAAATAGTATATACTATTGTCTTTTGTGTGTGTGTGTGTGTGTGTGTGTGTGTGTGTGTGTGTGTGTGCGTGCGTGCGTGTGTGTGTGTGTGTGTGTGTATACAGTTAAAGTCAGAATTACTAGCCCCCCTAAATTATTAGACCCCTGTTTATTTTTTCCCCAATTTCTGTTTAACTGAGAGCAGATTTTTTTCAACACATTTCTAATCATAATAGTTTTAATAACTCATTTCTAATAACTGATTTATTTTATCTTTGACATGATGACAGTAAATAATATTTGACTAGATATGTTTTAAGACACTTCTATACAGCTTAAAGTTACATTTAAAGGCTTAACTAGGTTAATTAGGTTAACTAGGCAGGTTAGGGGAATTTGGTTTTTGTAGTTATTGTGTAAAGATGGTTTGTTCTGTAGACAGTCAGAAAACAAATTAGCTTAAAGGGGCTAATAATTTTGCCCTTAAAATGGTGATGAAAAAATTAAAAACTGCTTTTATTCAAGCTGAAATAAAACAAATACGACTTTCTCCAGAAGAAGAAATATTATCAAACATACTGTGAAAATTTCCTTGCTCTGTTAAACATTAATTTGGGAAATATCTAAAAAAAGAAAAAAAAATCAAAGAGGGGCTAATAATTCTGACTTCAACTGTGTGTGTGTGTGTGTGTGTATATATATATATATATATATATATATATATATATATATATATATATATATATATATATATGTGTGTGTGTGTGTGTGTGTGTGTGTGTGTGTGTGTGTGTGTGTGTGTGTGTGTGTGTGTGTGTGTGTATATATATATGACTATCTGCCTAGAACATGCACTTAAACGTATGTGGGTCTGCGGGTCTGCAGCTGGATATTATTGACTTGCTGACAATTAACTGCACTCAGACTTTGCAAAATCAGCTACAATTAGCAAAATATAAATTATATAATTCATCAGCAAACGAACAAGATCTGTTGACTCTTACCTGGATGTCACTTGTAGATATAATGCACAAATCCTCAAAATGCAGGCTCAGGATAATAATTCAGAATCGAATCAAACTAGCATATTCATTGACTATTACCCAAATTAATTGTTATACATTTCATTTGAAATAACAAAAAGAGTTTTTACATTTTATATAAAGTTTGTTTGCCGGTGATAAGTTTGAATTCTGATGATAGTCCATTCAGAGGTAAACTTTGGTGAACGTGAGAGTCACAGAGTATTTGCATTGTCTTCGATGTTGACTCTGTAAAACCTTCAACTGTCTTATCGGAGAGGCTGTAAAGCCTGTGTCTGTTATCAGGAGGAAGTTGAGCTGTTCTGTACCAGCAGGACACACTTCATCCACAGATAAAAGTCCTCCATGATCCTCATGTACACACTTGAGCACAGTACACCACTGCTGTTCAGTCTGAGAGTGTTGAAAGAGAGACGGACGTGTGCATTTCTTTAATAAATGCTCTCTCTGTGTTCCTCAGGCCCAGCTGTATCTGCTGGTGACGGATCAGGGGTTTCTCACTGAGGAGAAGGTGGTTTGGGAAAGTTTACATAATGTTGACGGAGATGGAAATTTCTGCGATTCGGAGTTCCATCTGAGGCCGCCCTCTGACCCAGAAACGGTGTACCGTGGTCAGCAGGACCAGATCGATCAGGTCAGGATTGCGCAGGGTGTTCAGTCACTGTAATTGTTTCTTAATGTGATGTCTTTGAAAGAAATCTTGCATGGGTCCTTTATAATCAAGCTCATGCAGTTTATTGTCACTGGGAATCATGGAGTTGTGGCTGCAATTTAATTCATGTACACTAATTTTTAGAAGATTGCTGCGAGTATGATTTAAAAAGACGAGATATTAAACAAGAATGCATTAAATTAATCAAAAGAAACTAAAGACAAGTATAATGTTAGTTAGAGGAAAAATCCAGATTTCAAATAAATGCCTTGCTTTTAAACTTTTTATTCACAATAATAAAAATAAACCAACCTAAAGAAATTAATTACATTATCATCGGTTTTCACAAAAATAAGCACAACAGTTGTTAATAATAGTAAGAGGTTTCTCGTGCATCAGATTAACATTCATTCATGCATTCATTTTCCTTCGCTTAGTCCCTTTATTCATCAGGGCTTGCCACAGCGGAATGAACTGACAACTTATCCAGCATATGTTTTACGCAGAAGATGCCCTTCCAGCTGCAACCCATCACTAGGAAACATCCATACACTCTCTCATTCACATACATACACTATGGCCAATTCACCTGTACCGCATGTCTTTGGACTGTGGGGGAAACCAGAGCACCCGAAGGAAACCCACGCGAGCATGGGGAAAACATGCATGGGGAAAACTCCACACAGAAATGCCAACTGATCCAGCTAGGACTCGAACCATCGACCTTCTTGCTGTGAGGCAACAGTGCTATCCACTGAGCCACCGAGTTGCCCTTCAGATTAACATATGAAAATTATTTCTAAGTGTGTTGGAGCAGGGTTGGAACTAAACTGTGCAGGGCTTCGGCCCTCCAGGAATTGAGTTTGACACCCCTGTTGTAATGTAATTAAAATACAATCAGTTAAACAGACTTAAGCATTCATTTGGTTGTAAAAGCATAAAAAGAGATCGTTTAAATGCAGGTGCCGTCATTAGCAGCAGGCTAGCGTAAAAACTCCATTAAAAATACCGGGGTAAAATTAATTTCCATATTTTAAAGACATGGCACGGAAAAATATTATTCAATGCAGTGCTTCTTGTTTGGTTTTATACCCACTTTATATCGTGTCTCAGCCAGGCAGTGATGATTTCTGTTTTTTTTTTTTAAAGAAATCACATCTTAAACTTGACGGTTTTGTATGGGATGACAATTAACTGGAAGCCCTGAGGCTGGCTGACTGAAATTAAAAGTCTGTGTGCTTATACAATATTGACAACCACATTACTGTTTACATCTTTTCATGAAAATGATATAGTTTACTAATGAATGCCTTATAATCCTGATGATTATTGAAAATTTGTCTCAAATTCATTCCAAAAATATGTCAAACACTGCTACCTTCATGTCATTAAGAGACTTTAGAGAGAGAGTAGGGAATACACAATCACGCAAGTTGTTACTTGTCTCAAAAGTTTTTAACAGAAGGTAAAATGTTCTGGGCCTTTTCCAGACACTTAAAGCAATAAAATCTAAACCCTGCAAAGATAATTACTTTAAACAATTACTCATTTAGGATCCAATCCTCAAGCAGTCAAATTGTTCCTAACAAATAAATAACAGTAACACATTTTAACATTTCAGTTCCACTTTTTTTTTGTTGTTATTAAAAGTGATCGCTCAATCCCATCTGTAAGTCCTCAGGACAAATATTCTGTGCACCAAATGGGGTGAGTAATTGATTTCTTGACTGTGCACAGAGCAACAGTGACCCTCAGGTGATGCTGGGATCTAGAGTATGATGCTACAGTGAGACATGAATGTTGACACATCCAGTTGAGACGCAGTCAGTTTATTTCCAATGGGCTTTGTAGCGCGCCACTGTCCTCAAGCACTAATTCTGCTCCATTGCCCACTGGAAAATCTCCTCAATTATTGATGTTAAAAGCTCCCCATCCCTTCCTCCTGCAGTGTGTAACCCTCCCCCCTTTGCCTTGGGGAGGTTTTAATGCCTGATGACCGAACAAAAGTGCTTCACGTGACACATATCCTTTCCCTTTCTGTCTGTCTTATGCTGTTGTATCGGCTGTTTAATAATGAAGGGTCTATGTGAGTGAAGGGCTTGGGGATCAGCATCCTCTGACTGTCAGTCTCTGCTCTAGTACAGTCTTTGTATTGTTGTGCCATGTGGTCAGTCGCATAGCAAACTAAACTGTACACTTTTTTCCATTAAATGTTACGTAAGCTCATTACTACTGTAAGGATTCAGGCTAAGCTGTAATAAAGTGCATGTTCTACAAAGGGAAAATTATGTCAAAGGAAATTATGTCATCTACTCACACTCATTATTATGCTACAAAGCTGTGCGGTTTTTAGTTGATTTTATTTTGAGCACAAAAGAAGTTATTTAACAAATCATTCAGGCTGCATTTATGCAATGAAAGTGGAAACACAAGTACTAGTACACTCAAAATAATTACATTTACTGTTTGTTCAAACCTTTTATTTAAAATAAGCTGAAACAACACAAATCTTGAGGCTGTTTTGGGGACAACTTAATTGTTTTTATGTTCAATCCACTAAAATTTGTAAAAACTAGTAAGTTAACTTAATTTATTCATGTTGCCCCAACAAAAAATTATCATGTGGTACCCAGCATTTTTTACAGTAAAGAATAAATATATAGCATATAAATGTATAAATGTGTTGAATAATATCTCACTTTGTTATTTTTACTTAATTAGGCACTGTAGCAAGAATTAAAACAAGGTAATATAACTTTAAAAAGTAATAAACTTTACTCCTCGTATTATTACCATAGCTTTACTGGGACATTCATTATTTAACACTACTATCGTCCACTTTTTCCTGTGTGAATGAGCATCCTGGAGATTCTGCTTACTATTATAAGGTTCTATCTGCATTTTAAATGAAATTTCACAAACTAATTTCAAGAGGAGCACGTGATATGATTGACTGCAGCTGGCCACTCATCTACACTCATTGGCTAGCCAATCGGATTGATCCAAACTCACTATAAGTAACCTAGCTAAGAACTACTCCCTTATCTTCGTTTTCCGAAGAAACCCCCCATCCACCCCTTCTCCTCCTTTCTTCTTTTGCCGAGGGGAGCTCTCGAGAACACCTGACCTCGTACTCCCCTCACATGCTTTATGGACCTGGCGGGAGCCCTGGGCTCAACTATCTCCGAGCTCAGGGTTCTCTCCCTGGACAGCATGCCAAACCTGCTAACTTGCTAACAAGTTGTCAAACAGTATCTAAGTGTAAACTCTTGAAGTGATTTTGAGATATTGAGCTTCAAAGTTTTTGCATTCCATATAGCAAACAGAATGCGTGTCTAGAAAGTCATTTTATGCGTGGAATTAAAAGGATCTATCTGGCAGATCATTAATTGAAGCATTACTTTTTAAGAAATACAATCAATCTGCTTATTAATTAATACATTTTTAAAAATGTTGTTGTAACAATATGTTGATGTTTGAGAACGTTAAATGTTCTGCTTTGCTTTTTATATAACATTTTTTAATGTTTTAGGATGAATATTTCAAATTAGCATACAAGGCTGTGCTAAATATTTCGTCCAGTGCAGATGTTAATTTTATCTAATTAATGTGGTCCAATTTATTGAAATATATGCTTCATATGAATTATTGAATTATATTTATTAAATTATACGCTTCATGAACTAAATTAAGTATTTGCCCTTCAAGGCTTAATATCAAATTGAATGACTTTATAAGAAAACAGACAAGGAGCAAATGAGTTTAATAAATAATGAAAAATGTGTTACTGACTATATATGCACAAATACATATTTCACATTTAATATAATAATTTTTCAACAAGTAAAATTTAACATTAAATATCAAAAAATGCTTCTGGATCATCACAGTTACACACATCTTTTCAGCTTCAGGTTTCTTTTTTTAATTTTGAGGTGCATTATTTAGTCGACTTTGATTTTGTGTTTCCGTCTGGTCTTTCCTGCTGTCAATGGAGCAGTCCGGCAAAATGACAAAGAAAGCTGATCCTGATTGGTCCTCATGCGTGAATTCAAAATACTGATTTGCTCATAGATAGAACCTTATAGAGCCAGCTAAAGCTTAACTTTGTAGATAAAAACTTTTTCATTCTTTTTTTTAAAATAAAAAGTCTTAAAATGTAAACAAATTAATAAGAATATGTGAATAACTAAATTTTGACCAAAATGTCAGATAGAACCTTCTAATTCAAAGGTGGCGAGTTTGTTTTTCATGGTAAAATTTAACATATGTGTTTTGAAAATCATGAGGACTGAGTGTACTGTGACACGGTTTAAATGTTCCCCTTTTGTATGTGTAGGACTACCTGATGGCGTTGTCTCTGCAGCAGGAGCAGCAGGCCTCAGACCTGGGTTGGGAACAGATCCCAGAAGGCATCAGTGATCTAGAGCTGGCCAAGAAGCTGCAGGAGGAAGAGGACCGCAGAGCATCACAGTACTATCAGGAGCAGGAGCAGGCACAGGCCGCGGCGGCAGCAGCTGCACAGGCACAGGTGACTTCATAACACACGACATAACAAATAAAAACTTAACAAAAACTCACATACACTTATAAAAAATATCAATGTACATTTCACTTTAGTCAATCTTATGTCATATCACATCATCAAGAATATTGTATTATAAAAGGTCATATTTTGGTTTTGGGAGTCTCCAACAACAGGCTGATATGCGTGCAAGGTTAAAAAAACACTTTCATTGTCTCATAATATGCATTCATTTTACCTTATTATTCCAATGACTCCTATTTGATTTGTTCAGAGATTCATTTGTTCCCAAGCCCCTCCTTAGCACAAAGCTAATCTCTGCTGATTGATCCGATGACCCAGTCTGTTGTGATTGGTCGATTGGGTTCAGCGTGAGAGAGAGAAACGCCCAACAGGATTATGAAGTAGCACACAGAGTATGTGAGAGCCAATGCAGAAACGCAATAAAGCAATGCAATTAAACACCAGCATATTACTCTACTCTTAACCCTGACCCCAAGTAACAATGACACACATTTAGAAAATGGACTGTGCTGCATGTGTGAGGAACAGCTGATGTTGGCCATATGAAAGACAAAGGCGAGTTCAGGATCGTGAGTTCTGAAACATATTTAAATTGATAAAGGAAATTGCAGTACAAGCACTGAAATATAGATTCGTGATTAAATATGGAGCAATTACAAGTTACAGCACACAATTAAATATATATTTTGCAAACTACACAAAACAAGGCAACAATTTTAATGACACTGATATGTTATGATCCGGAGGAAAAGAAACTGGTCCATATGACCTGTAACAGTTACTTATAAAGTCCCTGTCAAAGTCTGACAAACATAACAGTCTCTGCTGCTCCTTCCTTTAATAGCAAACAACTGACGAATCCCGTTTTGCAGCGTAGGTTATTTTATCAAATATCAGAAAAATGACAGGAACAAACACAGCATATTGTTGACTATACTGTGGTATTGTTGTGAAAATGAACTTTAACCCTTTATTGCCTGCAGCTGAATCTCCATTTGTCAGTGATCATCATCTTGGCGTCATGACAAATCCCGTGATCCCCAGCACTCCGCTAGTGTCTGAAGGCACGTTCATGTTTTAGCGCAGTGTTTCTCAACTAGTGGCTCGTGGGTCGCAAAGTGTGTGGTCAAAAAAACAAGAAAAGTTACATTTTTTACTTATTTTGCTTATACCGGACTTTTATTTTGAAATTCGTGCAGGACAACCCTACCATTTGACATGTGAAATTTCATTTAATTATAGCAACAAATATGTCGAAGCGCAAGTACAACCCCGAATATGTAAAGTATGGATTTACATGTATTGACGACAAAAAAGACTTAAAGCCTCAGTGTGTCATATGTAGTGAGGTGCTCTCATAAGAGAGCATGAAGCCTTCTAAATTAAAACCACATTTAGAAACCAGACAACATGTTTTATTAACAGTTCAGTTTAGTTCATGGTAACTGAGCATTTCCTTATCCTAACCACTGTTTACAGTATTTGTCGTTTTTACTTCGTAATATTTCTATAATTTGATCCATTTTTTAAATGACAGCAATAAAATATTGTTTATTTGTCTCTGTAAATGATGTATCTGTCACAACTTCTGTATGTTAACAAATAAATACGAATTAAGTATAATTCCTAAAATTGTAATATAGTTCCTAAAAATTTGGGTTGTGGCTTGATGACCATGTAAAAATGTGGGTCCCATGGCCAAACCAGTTGCGAACCCCTGTTTTAGCGGATCCGCTACTTCATATTTGGTGATGTACCGTATGGAAGTTGACGCGTTCAAGCAAATGATCAGAGCCCAACACAATTCATTCATTCAACTCTAAGTCGACTATTTCCTTAAAAAAAATCAATAGTTATTATTACGGTGCACTTTCAGATTTAAACCTCAACTGGATGCTTTCATTTACTTAGAGCTGTGTTACACACTGCATGAAAGCTCAAAAACCCATAATAGGGGCTCATTAAGCATTTTTTTTTTTTGACTTACTGTGTATTTAGTCATCTTTAGTCATATTCTTTTTTATTTTTGTAATACTTTTTTAACCTTTTTTGTCAGGCTAATCATTTAAATAAAATGTTCTCAATATTATAATCATAGTGATGGTTGTCGCAGTGGTTGTTCGGTAGTAAAGGAAGACACCCTAGCTCTAAAAGATTTTGTTTCAGCAGAACATCTCAGTTGCTGAAATGCATTTTACATGTTCACTGGCGTTTTTGGATTGTCCGAGCTTCTATAGGAGTTGATTGAGCATGTGCAGATGGTTGCAAGATTGCAAAGATTAAACAAAATCCTCCGCACAAAACATTTATTTTCTGTTTGGGGATTTAAACTCTTGACATCTGGCAAGCGTGAAGAATTGTCAGTAAAAAGGGAATGTTGATATAGTCACAGTTATCATCTAATTTAGTCTTAGTCTTATCATCTTCTCATCTTAGTCATAGAATTTTTTTCCTCTTTTCCCATCACAGATTTAACGTTATGGAAATTTACCGCAAGGTATAAATGTAACAGTGCTCCAGACCAGAGGCAAAGCATGTAAATGGAAAACTTATAATGAAGCAAAAGTCTTTAAAAAGACTGAAAAAGAAAAGAAAAATGCAGATTAGAACTTGGTTCTGGTTTTACAGCTGTTGATTAGATTGAGGAAGATCTTTCAGGGGGCAAAGAGTTTCAGCAGATGATGTGATTTGAGAGGTCTGAGAGAAATAAACATTAAGCTTGATAACATTCGATGCCCATAAAATTCAACTATGCACTAAATACATTTCTCTCGTGTCTTCAGGGACAGCCAGCAGCAGCGGGTGCAGACCAGGTGGACAGAGCGGCAGCTGCTGGAGCCTCAGCAGGGGGAGCTGCAGCTTCCCCGAGCCCAGGAAAACAGCCCTCTACAGGCGAACGCAAACCCAAGAAGGAAGCCAAGGACAAAGACAAATGCATCTTGTTGTAACAGCAGTGGACCGTGTAGAGTGCGAAACGGGCAGCAGTTTAATTCCAGTGGCTCTGCAATGCATCTCCCAGCGTGAAGTGGAAAGAGCACGGGCGACCGATGGAGATGAAGCATGACGGACGGAGAGGACTTGCCATTCTCAAGCCACTTGTGCCTGACTTTAACCCTCGGCGTTCTGAAGATGCAGACAAGCAGAGAGGGGTGTCACTACAAGGACTATCACTACATCTTACATAGAGCTGGCCAAATGATCTCAGCAGGAAAACCACTGCAGTGCACTATATTTGTGTGGGGTCACCAGGGAGGGTGGATTTATTATTTTTTATTTTGTTTTGTTTTTTTGTAGTAAAACAAGGTAATGTACACATAGCACTATTCAAAAACTACCCCACCGCTCAAAAAAGAAAAAAAAGTGTTTTTGTTTCTCATTATACAAAGCATTTTCTTTTTTGTTTGTGGATTTCCGTTACTGCTGTTGTTTATAAGCTATTTTATACCAATTTACCCGTATATATGCCTATGTAGATTCGTTTTATTGGTCAGTTTCTGTTTGACAGAAGGATACCTGAGATCTTTTACTGAAAGGCCGTTCACATGAGTAGGTAGCAAGCAAACAGGTCTCTTGGCAAAGGTAATGTCTCAGGACATGATGTAGGCCACCATAGCCTGGCAGTTTGATGCCAAATTTCACATTGTTGATATTGTAGGAGCCGTGATCTCCACAGATGCTTTCAGAAATGTTTTCCTATTTAGGAAGTTGCTATTCCATTTGGTTACATAGTCGTGTCTACGAAAGGATAGTTTTTGCTAACAGGATATTTACTGGGAATATCAGCGAACAACTGACACTACCCTTAATGTACATAGCTTTAATGGAAGGCATAGAAAATATGTGGTCATTTTTTGTTGTTGTTTTGCCCAACCACTTTTAACTTTCAGCCAAAATCCTGGTTCATATTTGCCTTATAAAATGTAATATGGGTAGGAGAGTCATCCATGAACTCAGTGAACTACAATGTTATTGCCCCAAACCCTGAATGATCCTGTATGGTTTGTGTTTTCATTAAGCCGGTGGTCAAACAATATAGGTTTTACAAAAGCCTGAAATCTGAAGAGCAGGTGACACATTTCTGTTAATTGGCCAAGTGGATCATTAAGGATGATAATCGGAAAATGGCTAAACATTTGCTGAATAATCGAGCGGGCCGATATGTCGGTCTGTCTCTGGCTTCAGCCTGATTTTTCACTCTTGCGTGTACATACTCGTATAAATGGATGTAAGGTAGGAAAGGATTCTCAAGCCCATCCTGTTCCAGTGCTGCCTCCTGAGAGACAAGGTCTTCTATCCAAACATTCCAGCTATATGCCTTGAACTGAGCATTGCGTTGAGCCTCAGAGAAACGCCAATGTTGGGCTATTTTTCCTGATGTTCTGCTCTCACAATGCAAGAATGAACAACTCCTGCATGTAGACAAGCTCGTGGTGGGGTAGTCGTTGGTCAGACAGAGTTGTTTTCTGGGAGCACTAGTAGATGCAGTCAAATGCTAGTCAGTTATGGGCTCAAACTGTTGCTTTGACGTTTGGTCCCTCAGTGGCCAATACTCTCTGTATATAAAAAGCCTTACAATATTTACAGTATCTTTTATACCGACATAAAACAGGTGCGAGACAAGACTGAGACAATCTGTAGACCTTACCATAGACAGAAAACCGCACAGGCCTTCACAGAAGGAACATATCCATGAGTGTCTTGCAAACAGTTTGATGTGTATTAGCTGCCTTGGTAACGGATTAAGATCTAATGTACAACACAGGGTTTGACTGGAAAGACTCCCATAGAAGTATAACAAAATGGCATCAGTATCCTTTGGTGTGCTGCAGTTATATCATCTGCGATTTGAAATGCTCAAAGGCGATTCGATTCTGATAGTAATTCCAATCAAAGAAACATATAAATAACTGCAATTCTAAACCACTCCACCCATATGAAAATGAACCAAGGTTTAATAATAAAAGTGAAGAAACCATGGCTTTTAGTGTTTGATTACCACTGTTAAACAAATTTAGTTAAACTATGGTTTGTGTAGCAATTCCATGGTTAATTTGTGGTTACCATCGTTTAACAACAATAAAACGTTTGTTTGTTTTTAGTAGTAAAATTATAGTTTTGCAAGGGCAGATGCATCTGCCATAATGGAATGGTCAGTGCGTTATCACTCACGGTAAAAATAAAGACAATTTTTCTTAAGTCCCATGAACTGGAAGCTGCAACCATTATTTTTTTCATTTTGGGATGCAATGCCTAGAGAAACTGAATATTAAATGACACAACAGTGACCGTGGCTTTTTTTTCCCTACAAGTAGATATTTAATTCTGTTGTAAAGTAGGCATTTCATTCAGAAAGATGGGGAAATGGGTTTGAAGAGAGAAATTACAACCTAACAGACTTCTCCTGCCATTTCTGTTTGTTGTCAAAACTGACAGTTGCAGCAGCTGGTTAAATATGTAAGCCATGCCCATTTGCTAATCTGACATATTAAATGGAAAAAAAAACAGCAGGTGCTTTTACAAATTTCAATTAAAGATTAGAAGGGAAAACTTTTTTTCTTTAATGAATGCACAGATGAATTGTTCATCACAAAACTATAAATGTGAGCCAACTAAATCATATTGTTAGTTTTGATTTCTTGGGGACTTTAAGATGCTACAAAATTGCCCAGGTGAGGTTCAAATTCCTAAAGACATCCTTAAACAGATGACAATATAGTGAGTTGTATTTATGTATTTAACAGGCTTTTAAGTTCTGTAAACTTTTTTATGTCATGTTAAAGCCTTTGTCTTGTATTGTGATGTACTGGTAACCCCAAATTCACCATGGTTTTGCTACTTTAACCATAAATTAACCGTGATATTTGTTGTAAATCTACACAAAGAATAGCCAATGCCTCAGAAATACATTTACTATTCTGAGTAAAACCGCGGGTGTTTTTTTGTTGATTTGCACAGATTGGATTTGACCGTTTCAATATGGCGGACGCGCTGTAGCGGCCCAGAAGATAATAAAGCCTATTTATTTCTGTAATTAAAGCGATATTGTTCCTCTGTGTCTTTATCGTAGCTATAGTGTGGTCTCAGTTATTCTACGAGACTTTTCCGTTGTTCTAACACCGCTTGTAAGAAACTTTGGGTAGAGGAAATTTTCACACTGAGTTTTGAAGCATTGTCAACCCGCTGCGTAGTATTTTCAGCGTCTGAAAGGAAAAAATCAGTCAAGTAAAGTGAAGAGTTAAGGATTCATTCTTACCTATAGTACGACACCATTCACAAAATGATTCCCAACACTAGAGCATTGACATAAACCGGCCAAGTGTCGTATTTGTCCAACTGACAGCAAACGCCTCCAAAGTGTAGATTGTAACCGTCATCGTCATCAAATGTCCCAGCACGAGCAGTTTGAAAAGTAAAACACGACAAACAGGGAATATCTCGTGATTATTTCCCTTGTGAAAAGCCTTGAAGAAAGGTCATTCTTATAAAAACGTTAGTTTTCAAACCCCAGAAACAGGGATTTTAAGAGAAACCATGACTATTGTTTAGAAAATGTTACCCAAGGTGAAGTAGCTTACCTCGTTTTGCCTGAGTTTTATTGTTCCCTATAGTGTATTAGCGTCCGTACTATCATTTCACACTACACAAACTGTAGATTTACATGTCAGAGAGCTTCCATCCCCTCTGCGAAGAGTGTCATACAGTAGGAAGCACAAGTTAGTCAGTTCAGAGTTGGCAGAGTGATTCAAACCATTTGTAAAGGGGTTAAAGTAGATATTTTGTACCTGTAACTGACAAAACATTCAGATCTTAACCACACAAGCAAACTGGTGAAATTTATTCATCAAGTCATTTACGTGTCATGTTTACAGGTCAGGTTTAGTATGAACATTCTAATGTGCTTTTGATCATGAAGGAGTGATTATAATGTGTATCCACTGTGCTTTAGCTTGTTTGTATTGGTTGCCAATTATTTCATTCTTTTGTAATGTGCTTTGGCTTAAACCATTTGCATCTAAAATGATCCTGTTAATTTTAAATGTGTTAAATGTCACAGGTGTATATATATATACACAGACACACACACGTTAGTGGGATAAATAGATACATCTAAAGGAGTGGTGTATAAAATAGTTTGTGAGTGCAAGCTTCATAAATTGGAGAACATAAGTCCCATTATTAAACACTTGTGCATTTAGCTAAAGCTATTTTGACCCCCCCAAATAATGCAAGTACATATTCTAAGGCCTTGTCTGCTTGGTTGGCTATTAGTGTGCAGCACCCATTGAAGCTCTGTTGAGTTTGAGTTATGTAAGCACTGTTACATTGAATGCACTAGATGAGAATATACCTCTTTTTATAAAAACAAATGAATCACCCAGTTTGTCTGGTTACATTTGAACCTGATTTGTAACAGCCAATAAATAGTGTTTCGCAATAAGGCTTACCTTTATGAAGCTGCAAGAAGAACTGAAATAACTTTCTAATGTTTGAGGTAAATGCTGACATTCAGTTGTTTGTTTTTTGCCCTGCTTTCAAATAGGAAATGTTTGCAAGACTTCTCATGAATATAATTTGACGTTTGACATCTTCGTGCCATCAAAGGATGTGGGAATGAAAGCAGCAAATAAAGATAGGGCTACCAAGGAGGATTTCAACTAATGACTGGGAAAGTTAATCATTTTCTTGCTATTAAAATGCCACACATTATATGCTTTTCTGCCCATGATGGTAACTGGAAAGGTTTCTCTTGCTGCATTGATTATACTGGCTGAGTTCAAGATGGAAATGCAATTGTGATGCATGTTTAACAGATGAATACATGTACTCCTAAATCAGTTTAAGGAACAGCCCCATTTACAGTTTCTATTTTATATCCTTTATACGTGTATATTTACACAAAACATTTTAACTTAGCAAAAAGACAAAAAATTCTGGATATTATAAGGGTCAACCTTTCATTGTGTGTAAGGTTCATTAATGACCAAAAAGATTGATGTAGCCCACCAGTGTCAAAAAGTAGATGGACAGTTTTTGTAACAAATGCCTTAGACGAGAGACGATACGTCTGATTAAAGGAAATCTGGTCAGTGAGTCGGTGTGATTCTTCTGATTGTCGTTCACAGTCCTGAAGTTCCAAAGTCTCATACAGAAGCAAACTATACACAGTCATAATCCACATAATTTAATATCAACTTGTAGAATAGTCATCATCATCAAAAAGGGGGTCACATATTGAAATGTTACTGGAATAACAGATGTGTCCAGTGCTACACACAGTAGTTCGACCAAAGCATATGAGAGTATCTGGAACAACGTGTCAAGGTTATCTAAACAAACACTGGTTAAGAAATAAGCTGTACAAGCTGCACCTACAGTGTGTCAGGAGAACATGTTTGTGCACAAAGGTTGTTTACAGGTCACCAGAGAACAGTTCAGGAAACAAAAAACCTACATGTAAAGCCTTTTACACACAACAAGAGCCAACCAAACCAAATCTTTACAATAACCTTCTGGCTATATATACTTTTAGCCGTTTAAAAACATCAGGAGATCTAAATTAAAAAAATAACAATAAAAAAAATATTCATATTTCCTGGTGCAAAGATGCTAGAACCTTCCTTTAAAGGGCTTGAATCCTCCGCTGCTGCCGGTCATCGGAACATTAGTGATCTGCACAATTCTGTTTATACCAGTGGAGGAATGACTGTAGAAAAACACAACAACAACAGTCAAATCAGTAGATTGCAAAGCTAACATTTTATAAAAAGACTTGGATCATAGTGATATCTACAATCCACCATGTTTTTCCACCAAGGCAGCAGTTCACAAAACCAGGGCCTCTAACATTTTACTACCACTGGCCGGTAACTACACTGAAACTATATTTTCAATATTAATGCTAAATAAAAAGCATTACTAAATGGATAAACATGCAACTGCAATTACTTTATTTCAATTTAATAAATGTTAAGTCAAAGAAATGAACCTGTAATATTATTAAAGGATAAAAAAATATATAGTTTTAAATCTTTTTTTGCTTTCCAGTGTTAAACTTCTGTTTTGGTAGAATAAACAACTAATAAGCACATGCAAATAGAGAATGGAAGCTGCATGACTTGCTTTATCAACACCTGTGGCCCACTGACACACTATACACTCATGCACTATGTACCTATGCGCTTACACACTCAACAGTATAGTACATGTATGTAGTGTCGTTCCAAATGGAGCACTAATGTTTTTTTACTAAGCGGAAATTTAAAGTGTTTCCCTGATGACGTTTGACGGTTGCTAAATCAGTGAAATAAATGACCAAACCATCAAATAATACCTGCCATGAGTAGAACTGCATTCACCATCGGGAGGCGCTATAATCCCTCTTGTACGTGAATTTTGCTTTTACCATCCAAAATAAATAGTCATTCAATATGTGCGCCAAATTGCTCCGTCCCTTCCGCTGTGTGAGCAAACCGATTGTTGAGTGCGTGAAGTGTCCATCATTACACACTTCATTTTACCGGCTGAATGAGTGCATCATCCGGGTAATTAAAGTGTGCTTATTATTTTAGAGTTTTCAGTGTGAATGCACTACTTACACTATTTATACTACAAAATGGCATAGAATAGTGCATAGGTATGCGATTTGGGACACACCTCATGTGTTTTAAGACACTATGTGAACGACCGCCTTAAACAACATTGGAGGACATAGAACAGATTGTAGTCTTGCTTCTTGGCATGTGATCGTGTCACCACTAGAAAAAAAAAAATTCATCCAGAAAGCAGCTTTTCCAAATATAAACATTTAAAATTAATGTTTTTTCATGACTTGTCATGTACTATTCTACTATAGTCTAAATACTAGTAATGTCCTATAAAAATAACAATGGGCTCAATTTTATTTAATGAGCATCTTAATGGGATTACATTTTTAGTCATCAAAATGGTGATTGCATAAAATCATGAATCCTATTCAATTTAACAGCTTAATAATATAAAAAGTTTAAACAATGATTAAATAAAAAACAATAAAACTACATTAACCAGGAGTCACTCTCACTTTTCATTCTTAAAAAAATGATTTAGAATTGTTTCATCTGATAAAAATCAACATCTACACTAAGAGACGATATGCGGTGGTTTATTTTTTGCTTAATACAGCATCTGAGTAACAAACAAACTAAAGTCATATTTAGAAGTCTCAGTAAACGACAGGTACAGTGATGTTGTGTATTGCTGTATTCATTTACTGGCACGTCTGCTAGTGTACAGCCAACTGAATGCGCTGCTACTCCACTGCTTGCTGCACCGAGCAGAAGCCCAAAGAGACAACACTGCGGAAAAAGTTTATAACAGTCTGACAGTTTACCAGAAATGCCCGGGCAGCCATAATCAAATTAATAGTCTTTGCACAAACACACATACAGCTGAGGTAGGGGATATTTGTGGATATTGTGACGCAAGTCAATGTATTGAAAACCCTGGAAATTAATGGGGTCATGGTTGAACTTCACAGTAACAAAATAGTTTGCAACTTATTGTGAGGACCGCCTGAATGCCACTGGCTACTGAATGAATGTCAGGATGGCTGGTTGCAAACAATGGAGTGCGCGCTGCTGGATTAAACCAAGTAGTTAAACCATTTCAGTTATTTTGTCTGTTATATGTTCTGTGAAAAACGTACAAAAAAACGATCATATCGGTGACAAATTGGCAGCAAATTTGCTGATATTGATACACTGGCAAAAAGCTCATATCGCCTCATAAAAATCTGTAAAACGATATATCAGCCGGGCTCTATTTTTGACAGTTAAAATACTTGCATACTGCTCTGTGAACACGAGCCACTATTACAGTGTGCTCTTGTGCAATTTGATTGTAGTGCTCAAACATGACATGTTTAAGTATTAGTGAATCAGCTCTCACTTTAAGGTAGATAGAGCTGGTACAATGAATAACATAAAAGGCACATAAAAGATAAAATATGCACACTAGATCAAAACAAACCTGGAGTGTGAAGCCATCATGCCAGGCCGACTGTCTCCCATCCGGCGGTTATCTGTGAATCCACCGCTCTGTGAACCACCAGCCCCGTGCCATTCTTTCCTGGGGCCCTGATCACGTCCATGTCTCTCTACCACCACCTGCCTGCCACTGCTAAAGTGCGACTGAGGTAACAAAGAGGCATGTGGCATTAGATTTGAAAAATGGCAACAAAAGAAGTGCATCAGAGGCATGTTGTGTACATTACCTGCTCTCCCATAACCACAGCTCTGCCATCTCGGCTGTTGAAGCTGCTTCTGCCACGGCTGGCTGAGGACACCCCTCTCATGGCAGGTCCAGGACCGTCTCGCCCTGGACGTTCCTGACGTATCTGAACTGGTCTGTAAATACAGCCAGCAGCAAAGCACTGGTTACCAGCAACTCAAATCAAAGACAGGGCTTAATTCTCAATTTGTGGTAGTATTCTTTATTAATACAAATATATACCACACACGCTCTGTAAGTGGCAGAATTTCCAAAAGAAATATAACTGCTATGCAAGTATTGCGTTCTTAGATTATTATAAATTAAATGTAAAACGTATACCATAAAAAAGGAGATAAATTACTTGAAGTAAACACTTTTTCATATACTAAACTTAATACTGAGGGCTGTAATATTAACACATACACACAAAAACAAAGAGAATTAGCACTGAATAAGAAAGAATTTCAATGAGCATGTATGCAACGGTACACTGGCAATGAAAAATTTAGTTAATTAATTTTAAATTAAAGTTTAGGCCAAAAAGTAGAACATTTACTTTTATGTATTGTGTTCAAGATCATAAATAATTTAGAATTTTAAACATCAGTACCAAAGAAGTTGCAAATTTTAATTCCCATCCCCTAGAAAGGAAGGTAGAACATTAGAAGATCTACCATACCTGACATCTTGCTTCGTATTCATTCCTCCATCATTCTTCCAGCCAGCATGGCTGCCGTCTCTGGGGGTGCGGGAGTGGGCAATGGCAGGAGGTGGTGCTCTGCCTCCAGATGCTCGATCAGGCATGGACACCTGTCTGCGCTCATCACGATCTCGAATCTCTCGTCGATCACTGTCTCGGAGCTCTGCACGAGGTGGAGGCGGTTGTTCTGCTCTCCGTACAGTTTCAAAGTCTTTAGGATATCGTTCAAAGCCAGAGCCTTCACGACGTGGAGCGGGTCGATTCTTCTTTGAATCAGCTTCGTTAACAAAGCGGTTACGTCTGCAAAAACAAAAAACTAATTAATTATGTTACATTTGTTTAATTTGAACAACTTTGCTCATTTGGAAATTTGGCAAGTTAGCACTAAGACACAACATAGGATTTTTGAATTTTTTTACAACAATAATCTTTCTTGTGCTGATACAAAATTTATGTCAAATACTAAAGCTGGTTTAGGCCTCTCATGGATAAATTAACATAATACTAAAACCATCAATCATTGGTGGCAAGTTCCTTGAATAATTTTTTTTCATTGAATACATAAATAATATTTTACTCATTCAAACAAAGCTAATTTTTACAGATTCTATCTGACGCTCACTTGTACAAATGTTCAGCTATGGAGTTATGGTGAAATATCTCAGTATTAATGCATTGTTTGTTGTACCGTTCCATAAGATCAATATCATATTCGCGGTGTGATAGAATGGTTGTAAAACTGTAATAAAATAAAAGTAATAGCTTGAAGAATAAACAAAAGTAAAGTGTGAAAAATACAGATCAAAAATCGTTCAGTCAAACTATACTTGGAAATCCACAAATCAAAGTTTACCTATCAAAGTTGTTGGACTGCACAGCAGAGGACTGTGGGTACCGGTTGCGGTCTCTGGCGTTGAAATCATTAAAACGGTTTTGTTGTCTGCTGTTGTAGTCACCACCTTGACTAATCCGGCCCTCTGGCTCAGTTGCCATCTTTTTAGCACTATTCCAGTATGGATCGTCCCTCCTGTACATAAAGAAAAGAAAAACCTTTAGGAGACCAGTAACACCTCAATTATAACTGTACAATGAAATAGTTCACACACCTCTGGTCAACATCACGTCCCCTCTTTAAGTTGTT